TATAAAGTGTTTTCTTATTAATCATTTGTCAATTATAATAAATAGCCTTGTATTTATATTAATTGAATTAAGTAATTTAATTATGAAATATTCTTACGATTAAATTAGAGGAGCACCATAGGAAGAACAAGGAGGGGATATGTAACAAATTTTTTCATTTTTACTGGCATTTGCAGGAACTTGGATGAAAGTAATTGAAATTGTTAAATTTAGCAAAAAGTCTTTATTTGGATTGCATTTTTCTTTTTGTTATCTTCTTGTGCTACAATGAAGACAAGATCAGCAAATTATATGCAAATTATTTTAAATTTTGGAATTATTGTAATGGGATTCTTATCTCTATATGTTTGGTAACCAAAACATGAGATGGTGCTTTAATAATAAAGAGAATAAGCATTACTCTAAAATTGAAAATGTTAATATTTGTTAAAAATAATAAAATATCATCAATGAATTTATGAATAGACAACAATTATTTATAAATATTTCTACACTCTAAAGTAAAATCATTTATTTAACTTATCATTTCAAAAAATAGCAAATATGTTTATTTATGAAATCAGTTATTTTCACAATAAAAAAAGTTTATAATCAGAGCATTTTAACACCTTTTATGACCTTAGACATGTTTTGATTCTCAATATAAAAAATCAAGATTCTTATATTTTTGAAAATGATTTGAATTCTAATTAAAAACCCATTTTTTCAATTTGATTCATTTGGTCAAATACATATAATATAACATCTGAAATTTTAATTGTATATTCATAACCAAAAATTGAATTTTAACATTAAATCAATAGTAATGAATATTTATACTATTCAAAAAATGTGAATAAATTATTAATGGGCAATCTTATCTCAATCAAATTTTATTTAAAATCGAACTTCCTTATAAAATCCAAAAGTAATTATTTAGAATTAAACTATAACTTAATGACAAAAAGGTAACTAATAAAAGGATTTTTGATATATATAGCTGAGTTGAATTATCTCAAAAAATCTGATTCCATCAAATTAAATTCAATGAAAGTTTTTTTTAAGGAATATATTTATATGAAATTTAAAGTCAAAGTGTCATCAAAGGCTCTCATAAGTACATATGAGTTAGAATTATTTTCTTTACATGTTTTTTCATATAACATTTAGGAAAGTTTGGGACAAAATTCAACACCTCATTTTGATAAAGCAAAAAGCCAGATTTACATAGCTTACATGTTTTTCAAATAAAATTGTTACAGTATTATTGATATTTATGCAAAAATAATATTAAAGCATCCTAAATTAATATTAATGATTCGATAGGCAATTGGGTTAATTAAATAAACCATTGAGGAAAAAATGAATATACAACTCTATAGGATTATTTATTTCATTTATTTTGAATTAATAATTGCATTATTGATGATTTAATAAAGTGTAAATCCTATTTTTATTAAGAATAGAGAATGTCTTAACACTAGTTTTGAATGATTAGAGATAAGGGATTGAATTAATAAATAATGGGCGTATGTAAATAATTAGCTGGAAACTAAAAGATCAATATATGATTTAATAATTTATTTAAAAATTATTTCAATCTTTTCAGTAATAATAAACAAGTTTTATGTTTTTCGTAATAAATCATAACTTGATAATTTATTAGAATAATGAAAATATTATGGATTTTATTAAAAACGACTATCTTTGATGTACTAATATAAAAATCTGTGATAATAAAGCTTGATTGGTTTTATAAAGGATTAAATTAGTATTTTTGAATGAATTGATTGCTCTTTTAAATATTAATCATTTAATATAAAATTTAGTACATTGAATTTAATGAGCTATAAATTATAAGTTGATAATGTAGGTCATCAATCTCAATTAACAATTGATGACTTGACTGATTTATTCAAGCTGAACCAAATAAATGATGGTTAGAGTATGTAAAAGGTAAAATAATTTGGGGATGATGTTGGAATAGCTAGGAAATTAAACACAGATTTAAAAGTAATAATAATAAGTTAATGATTAGAGAGGATTTTAGGATAAGGATGCAATAGAAAAATCAAAACAAGTTTATGGTGATAATACACCTGTTGAGAAAGAGCCAACAACATTATGTGAATTGATAATGGAATGTTTAGGGGATACAATGCTACAAATATTATTATTAGCAGCTCTGGTGTCGACTGTGATTGGTATGATTAATGAAGGAGTAAAAACAGGATGGACTGAAGGGTATAAGAATATCTAAAATATCTTAGAGCAACTATATTTTTTGCGATATTCCTGATCATTTCAATAACAGCTGGAAATAATTATTTAAAAGAGAGACAGTTTAGATAGTTACGTAGAAAATTGGATGATGGAAAATGCTAAGTTATAAGAGATGGTAAGGTAACAGAAATAGCAACAAAGGATATAGTCGTTGGAGATTTGTTAATTTTCAATTTAGGAGATTTGTTCATTGTAGATGGTATTATTTGATATTAAATAATTTTAGGTTTGATGGTTTAAGGAAGTGCAGTGAAAATTGATGAATCTCCAATGACAGGAGAGAGTGATGAGATAAAAAAGTTACCTTATCTTGAAATGGCATAACAACAACACAATTAACTAAATGTAAATTAAGATGCAGCAAGAGGACATGTAAGTCCATTTTTAATATCTGGAACAAAATGTTTAGATGGTACGGGATAAATGATTGTATTGGCAGGTAAGAAAATCTTGAATATAAAAAGTTGGTTAGAATACAGTATCTGGTAAATTGAAACAGTTATTAATATAAGAGAATCCTCCAACTCCATTACAATAGAAATTAGAAGGAGTAGCTTCAGATATAGGTAAATTGGGAGTGTTAGTATCAATATTAACATTCATAGCATTAATGGGACATTTAGGATATGATTGTTATTAAGGTAAGTTTGCATTTCTGAGCATAAAGACTTTATAAATAATAGTTGAATCTTTTATGATAGCAGTAACAATAATAGTAGTAGCAGTTCCTGAAGGATTACCATTAGCAGTGACAATAGCATTAGCATATTCAGTAGGTAAAATGAAAGATGAATAGAATTTGGTAAAGAATTTATCATCATGTGAAATAATGGGCGGAGCTAATAATATTTGTAGTGATAAGACAGGAACATTGACATAAAATATAATGTAAGTTGTAGCATTATGGACAGAGAATTAAACATTCAAAGATTAAGTACATACAAATAAGAACAAATTAAAGAAGGAAACAATAGAATTGATGGGTGAAAGTATATGTTATAATTCAAATGCATTTCCAGAGAAAGACCCATAAACTAATAAATGGATTTAAATAGGAAATAAGACAGAATGTGCATTATTAGAATGTGCAGATAATTTTGGATATAATTTTAATTAATATAGACCAAGTGATAAGGTTTTAAGATAGATTCCATTTAATAGTAAAAGAAAGAAGATGAGTACAGCTGTTTTAAATTAGAAAACTTAATATATTAGAGTTTATACAAAAGGTGCATCAGAAATAGTATTAGGATAATGTGTTAAATATATAGGAAATAATGGTGTTGAATCTCCATTAGATCCATAATTAAGAAAAACCATTTATGATAGTATAATATAGAAATTTGCATCAGAATCATTAAGAACAATAGCAATAGCCTATAAAGATATAGATCCATAATCTCATGGATCAAATATTAGAGGATAGATTCCATAATTAACGAAGGCAGCATAGAATATTTAGGAAGATGATTTAGATAAAGATTTAGTATTAATAGGGATAGCAGGAATAAAAGATCCAATAAGACCAGATGTTCCAAATTCAATAAAATAATGTCATGCATCAGGAGTGAAAGTAAGAATGGTTACAGGAGATAATATATTAACAGCAACAGCAATAGCAAAAGAATGTGGAATTCTAGCAACAAATAGAGAAATAGGTGAATGGGAAGTTGTAGAAGGAAAGAAATTTAGAGAATTTGTAGGAGGATTAAAAGATGAAATTGTAGATGGAAAAACAGTTAAAGTAATAGGAAACAAAGAGAATTTTGCTAGAGTTAGCAGAGAAATGAAAGTAATGGCAAGAGCATCACCTGAAGATAAATATATACTTGTAACTGGTTTAATTGCTGAAGGAAATGTCATTGCTGTAACTGGAGATGGTACTAATGATGCACCAGCTTTAAAAAAAGCAGATGTTGGATTTGCTATGGGAATTACAGGATCTGATGTTGCTAAGGATGCTGCTGATATTATTTTATTAGATGACAATTTTAGTTCTATTATTACAGGTACATATATATATTATATAATATAGCTATGAAATGGGGTAGAAATATTTATGATTGTATCAGAAAGTTTATCTAATTTTAATTGACTGTTAATCTTGTAGCTTTGTTTATGTCATTTTTAGGAGCTGTTGTTCTTAAAGAATCTCCTTTAAATACTATTGAAATGTTATGGGTTAATCTTATTATGGATACATTTGCTTCATTAGCATTAGCTACTGAACCACCTAATATTTCAGTTTTAGAAAGATAACCTTATAAAAGAGAAGATAAAATAGTTTCACCAACTATGAATAGAACAATTGTTGGAGGATCCATCTATTAAATTGGTGTCTTATGTGTCATTCTATTCTATCTTCCTCAAGTTATGGATTTATCTATGCCCCCAGAACTTATTGGAAAAAAAGTAATCTTTTTATTTAATTTATCTATAGTTTCATAAAAATGTTGTATAAATGAGTATTTTCTTTTAAACTTTTGTTGTTATGCAAGTTTTTAATTCGATTACTTGTAGATAACTAGATTATAAAACTATCAATCCTTTTGCTAATGCTTGCAATAATCCTTTGTTTTGGGCTGTCTAAACTTTTACTTTGGTTATTCAATGCATTCTCATTTAATATGGAGGCTAATTTGTAAAGGTTTCTCATTTAACTTTACATTAACATCTCTTATGTCTTGGATTTGGAGTTGGCAGTATTATATTCTCTGTTCTTGTTAAAATGATTATTCCAGAACGTTGGTGTCAATTCGTTGAATTGTTTAGAGAATAAGAAGTTCAATCTGGTGATATGGACACTTCTTTAACCAGTGTTCTTAGAAGAAAATCTACTAATAGATTGGGTAATTCAAGAAAGAGTATGGATTAATAAGGAAGCCAAATCAGAATGAGTGCATAAAGAATGCAATGATATCAATATACATACATTTATAACATAGAAATTGTTTTCTTGGATCCAATAAATTTTTTATTTATTATCAAATCAAATGTTAATCTAAAAGTAATAACAATTATATTTTAGAACCAAAATTAAGAAAATTATATCTTATTTCTGCTTCCATTACCTATACTATAACTTATTTGCCATGTTATTTGCACTCTTTCAATTTGATAGAATACCTTTTGCTGTCCCATTAGGTTTTAGTATTACTTTTGAAATCTTTGTCTGCTACTATTATTCCAATAAATAAATAGTCAAGATGCTCGACCATGTACTTCACATAATGGCTTATGTAATTTCAACATCTATTACTCAAGAATTTTGTTATCATCCTTTATTACACAAACCTTCAATATTACGTATTCGGAAATTTTTTCTTACTTCTTTCCTTTGCTATAAGAACTAAAGAAAGTTGTTCATCTTAAATAACTCATGAATATTCCTCCATCATTAGATTCGTAATAAACAATTTTATTATCAATATAGTTAAAAACATTTTATAGATTTTCATCATTAGTTGCCAGTGTTTGTGTCTCATTAAAACTTAGTAAATATGTTGAATGGACATGGCCATAGGCATTCTGGTGGTATTGGATGTTTTTAAGTGCTTTAGTTGGTACTTGCTTTACTTTAATCATTGTACTCATATCTAAAATTATTAATGAAATCTTCAAGCAAAATCAGACAGTTCCTTAGGAATGTAAAATATTAATTTAATCTAGATAAATCTCTTCTTTGGGCTCTCTATAATTCAATTATTAGCAGTATTCTTTCTGTAATGTGGATTATTAACACTTTTAATCAACTAGGCTTAGATATACCTATTAAAATCGGTGAAGTTCTATTTTATTCAACTGTTTCCTTTAATTTAATTATATTTTGTGCTTTAACTAAATTTTTATGGGATTCCATCATCGATTTCTGTGTTTACTTATTACAATCTCAAGAAACAGATATAGAATTATAAAGAGAGTTACCTACCAGTCAAATAACTTAACAAAAATAATATGAAAAAAGAAAAGCAATTCATTAAATCTTCTTAAAAAAATTATCATCTGCTTTCTTTAGATAAACAACTAAAGAAGATATGCTCTAATAATCATAAAAATTAACAGAAATAATGACAGAAAGAGGACAAACAAAAAAAATACTCTAAACTATTGAAATTGAATCTAAATAATTATAAGACAACTAAAACAAAATTAATGAATCTAATTAAAAATGTATAATTTGTTGTGATAATCCTCCTAATGCTGTTTTAATGATTTGTGGTCATGGTGGAATCTGTTATAAATGTGGATTGGAAATGGCATAAAAAAGCAAAGAATGTTTTTTATGTAGACAATAAATTGTATTCATTTATGAAATCTCAAATTTCAATGATGACCTTATGAAAGTAGTAACAATAACTAAATTTAATTACTGATTATCTTTTTAAATATTAATTATTATATACTCAACTTTGTTTTTATTATTCCAAATTTTAATTTTCATTGAACTAAACAAGAAATTCTGAACTTTTTGATCTCTTATTATAAAATTATTCATTAGTTTATTTTCTTTTTGTATTTCTTAGACCATTTGATATTAATTCTACTTATTTCTATAAAACAAATTATTCTGTAGTGTTCATACTTGCTCTAGGTCTTGTTTTTGGAGATTCTTCTGTTTAGATAGTTTCACTTTCTTATTATTATTACTATAAATATACTGAAACAGTTTTCATAAAAAATTATCGAAAATTTAACATAGCCTAAGTAGTTTATCCTATAACAATGTGATTTTTACTAGAAATAGAATTCTGAAATATATGAGAAAATAATAATAATTAACTTTTATTTAAAAATTTAGATATTAGTAGTTTGAGTTCCTCTTTATTTTATTTTTATTCTTTTTCAACTGCAGATTCTTTACAAATACTGTTGGTAGATAGAAAAGTGTTCCTTTTTTAACTTTGAATCATATTAGATTTTTTATTCTTCTTTTATGTTTATTTTTAATAGTTGTTCATTTCTGTACCTAAAGACATATCATAAAATTCTTTAAAATTAGCAATTGGAAATTAGATTTTGCCAAAATTATTAACAAATTCATCATAAGTAGCTTTAACTCTCATAAATTCAATATAGATAGTCCATTCTT